CTGTACTCAGTTTAATTATCCCTGACTCTATTAAATGATAATACAAGTCTGCTCCTATAAGCATATCAACCTTTCCTGGTAAATGAAATTCATTATCAGCTAACTCTATATTTTTCAGAATTCTTAACTTAGATAAGTCCACTCGTACTTGTGGTAAATAACAATTAATTTTAGGAACGACTCCACAATTTAATGTATACCTTTCTGACATTTTTGATTCTACCATTACTTTTATTACTCGAGTAATCTGAGTAGAATTTTGAGAAATTTTAGAAATTTGTAAGTTAGATTTAAATAATTTATCATTCAGCTTATTTACCATGTCCTTCGTAATGAAACTAGTTTGAGATGCAGAGTCTAACAAAGCTCTGGCATTTACTACCTTCCCTTAAATAGAAATTAACCTAACCTTAGCATTAGCCAATATTATTTGCTGATTCTTAACAACAGATTTTGAACTACTGCCTGGATCTGTTATAATTAAAGAAAGAGATTCTTGATTTAAAAAGCACCCTTGCCCTTGATTGTGATAAATTCCTTCTCCTGCATTGATATTGCTCTGACCTTCCTGAGCTCTGGAATGCCCTGCATTTTCAGTAATACCTGCTTGATTTAAAAAATGTTAAGCTTGCGATATATTACCGTCATAGCGATTATTTAACCTAGGATCCTGACTAAAAGAATTTTCTATACCTGTAAAATTCCCCTTGTCTCTTGTTTCCTCAAAATTCCTATCATGTGTTAGGATATGATGTTTCCCCTTACAAATTTTGCACTTACTTGCAATGCATTGGTTAACATTGTGATTCTCTTTCAAACAATTAAAACATAACTTATTTTTTATTATAAATTCACGTTTTATTTGTATCATATTTATTCAGATAGAGTAAACCCTTGCAATAGATGCATTTTTGTCGGTCTGTTAAAATTAGTGGTTTAGGTATGTGAAACAAAATAAGAGTTGCTTTTTTTCGTTTGATCAGAAGTTAAGTTATTTAAATTAAATTGTATGTATGAATTTTCCCAAGCAATAATATGTTTTTCCAAAAAACTTTGAAATTCTTTAATACTAGGTAAAGTTTCATCATTTCCTTCCTGCCTTTGCAGTTCATATTGATTTCGCAACCCATTTTCAACCTTTGCTGACATGATACATACTGTTAATAAAACCCAAGATTGTACATCTATCTCTAAAGCTTCTAAAGCATGTAAATGTTGCTTCATTTTAGCTACGAATTCTTTTAGACCCGTCTGAACTTTTCCCACACTTAACTCTAGAGGATCCCTAATAAGATACTTTAAAACTGGCTCTCGTCTGTTATATTTACTTTTCAATAGATCCATTGCTCTATCATAATTTTTTGTCTGTTATTTTTAATTCACTTATAACCGACAGAGGTTCTCCTTTTAATGATCCTTTTAAATATAAAAATTTTTGAGATTTAGCTAATGTTGTATCATTGTCTATCCCTGACACAAAAAGATCTAAAAATGTTTTCCATTCCCCATAATTTTCCTCAAAAGTTGATATGTTGATGCTGGGTAGTTTGTCATTTTTATTGAGAGGGGCCTGGGAAAACCCACCTTGTGATAGCCCTGAACGAGGAGAAAAATTATTTTCGTTAGATGCCAAATGAGCTTGATTACTTTCAATTGATTGAATTAACGTTTTTAGTTTACTATGTAAACTGATATATTTGTTTTCCATAAACTCGCGTTCATTATCAAATTCATTTTGTAAAATAATGTCAACCTCTTTATAGTTATCTTTAAGCTCATCTTGTATTTCATTGAATTCCTCATATGCTTTTACTAATAAATTTTGCCTTACTTCAAGCTCATTTATATTTTCAATATCTACAACTCTTCCCAAATATGTTTCTATTCTTGTTGTTTTTCCTTTTGCCCTAGCCTGTTCTCTTTTAATTAAATCTATTTGTTCTGCCATTAATCTCTCAAAATTTACAAATTAACTTTACAAATGGTTAAACAAAGAAACAATATAATTTAAAATAATACAATTTGAGAAACTAAACTCTTCTATGGTGTAGCTTTTTCCCACCTGATTTTCCTAAACTTTAATAGAAAAGTGTAGTCTTACTCCGTCAATATCAACTACCGATATTTTGGATTTTTCCTTTTCCTCTGTTATTGATTTATCCAATTGGAATACCTTTTCCTTCCTTGAAAGAACCTTTACAATCCTTTCTGTTCTTCAAGATCCCCTCGAAGTGCCAATGTTTGAGTCGATGCTTTATATTTGCCTTTCGTAGTGAACCGTATATTATACTCAGATGGAATAAAACACAGCTTCAATTTTACCCTCTATAATGATTAAACACGAAGAACAGAATTATTGGATTGTCTATTTTGAGTGATTATTTATATTGGTTACACAATCAATTAACACACTTATTGGTATAAGTCCTTTAAAAATCATGATTGTGTATATATAATTTTTCCTATAATTCGCTTGTATATTATTTCGGATATGTGCAAATATTACCTTGTTTATACAGGGTCTCATTAAAAATCGGACACATAACAACCGAAGATTGTCTGATTAAAAATAAAACGATTAAACGAAGCATGCTTAAATTAAATATTACTGGTTTCCGAAATAAAGGAGTTAAAGTTGAAAATCAAAAATTTGCCCTAGCGTTTTCTTTTAATTAAATCTATTTGTTCTGCCATTAATCTCTCAAAATTGACAAATTAACTTTACAAATGGTTAAACAAAGAAACAATATAACTATAAATTAAACTAATATAACTTGAGAAAATAAACTCTTCTATGGTGTAGCTTTTTCCCACCTGATTTTCCTAAATTTCAATAGAAAAGTGTAGTCTTACTCCGTCAATATCAACTACCGATATTTTGGATTTTTCCTTTTCCTCTGTTATTGAATTATCTGTTCCTTTCTGTTCTTTAAAATCCACTCGAAATGCCAATGTTTGAGTCGATGCTTTATATTTGCCTTTCGTAGTGGACCGTATAATATACTTATAATGGTCAAACATGAAGAACAGAATTATTGGATTGTCTATTTTGAGTGATTAACAGATTTCAATTATATTTTTATTTTGTTTCGTTTTCCTAGTATTCTCGCCATAGGCGTATCAAAAGGTAGGTTCTTCAGTGCTCTGCAACAGATTTTAATTTTTTTTAATTACAACCCTCCTTAACCCCCAAACTTTAAATCAGATTTTTTTCAAAATCAATTGGCTTCTTCCTCTTATAGAGCTTGATTTTGCAAAAAAGATAATATGATTTTTTAAATAAAGATTTTTTGAATATTTTAATCCTCCTTAACCCCCATGTTTATGTTTATAGATTTTTTTCAAAATTATTAGGTCTATATTTCGAATGCAATGCGTAAATTCACGGATAAGATCGCATAGTTTTCCAACTATCTACGGTAGTCTGAACTGAAATATTGGTAAAGTAGGGTTTGCTGTGTATATTATTTGAAATTTTGGCTTGTATTTTAGTTTTTAATTTTCTTCGTTATTACATTGATTAGAGACTTGATTAAGCTTCTATTTTTAATATTCTGAAAATTACATTATTTATATTGGCGTTAGCAACTGCTCTGATTTATGTCAAAAATGTTAACCAAATCTTATCTCATTATCTTGTATAGTTTTTAAATTCATTTGGATCTAAAATTAAATGCAATTAAATTATCGCCTTAATGTTTGCTTGTAATATTGTTTTATCTTCTGTAACGTTATTTTTTAATTTATTTTTACCTTAATGTCCATATGTATTCACTTCTTTCAAACAGTTCGGTCCTTTTCGCCATAATACTAGTGGACCTTCTAGTTTTATCTCATAATGGATTAGAGAATATGATGAGGTTTTCTATTGCTTAATATTTTCAATATTTGTTTTATTTTTTTCATACATATAGTACTTTTTTTAATTAATCATGCATGGTACGCAACCAAGACCAAAGAAAATAGTAGGAAATAAGCCCCTACATTTAAGCCAGCAAAAAGATGGCCTAAACCGGTAAAACCCCCACATCAATGTTGCAGTACAGATTATGCTAAAGCTGTAATATATGGATAATCCTATGCATAGCGTTTTCTTTAAAAACACCAAAGATCTTAGCTTATTTAAGCTTGAATTAGAAAACTAAAGGATTTATAATGGCCTGTCAAGATGTAGTTCACAACACTCTTGTCTATCGGAGAAATACACTGGGTTTAGATACGCCCGCTGTTAGATGCAGTGTCTACCACAAAGCACAAGAGACCATCATGCATTTACTATCGGCTTGTCTAAAATATGTTGTCACAAGCTACGTCTAGCAAGACATTGCAGCTCTACTAGTGCTCTACTTTTATCTGAGACATTATTATAGTAAAGATGAGACACAGGTTCTACTTTTCGTATTGGAGCATATTGAGTTCGTTTTGGAAAACGTAAATTGCCGTTTATACTTAAACTATTTGTTCTGTAGACTCAGGCGTTTTCAAGAAAACAAGCCTTATATAACCCTTCTGGACCATATGTTATCGAGTTTTCGACATTCAGAGAAAACAATATTTTTAGAAAAGAGATGGAGAAGATGCGAAAAATATATGAAGATCTCATCTTTGAAATATGCAGGCTATATCTAGATCACAGAGTACGTTTGGTGGGTTTAATATTCGGTATCCCTAATATAGAACTTTGGTACTCTAGATGTAGTATTTACTTACATGTTCTTATATATACTCGTTGAGTTCTTGCAGTAAGAAAACTGGCGTATAATTAAATTGATGTATCTTTAATCCCAAGATAATGTAGCATAGCTAAAAGTAGTTGATTAATTATGTCAAACGCTTTCGAGTAATCCGATAAGACTGGTATTTTAACTTTATTTTTATCAATCGCTGCAAGACAGGGCTGTCGTGCAGCTAAATTAATACTGTTGTTTTATTAGCAACTTGCTTCTAGCTATATTAAATATTTAAGCTTTGAGAAACTAAGTAGTTATTTAATATCTTACCCTTGCGGTTTTCCACTCATCTCCGCCTTGCGTTAATATGTTCACACTAAGGGGACTTTTTTTATTGTAAAAGAGACCACGGTCGACGAAACTTGAAAAATCTTTAGTCAAAACACGTTTCGCATATGTAACATCAGTGATAACCAGATATGGATCCAAACCCAAATAGACACCTAAAAATAATGAAAAGGAAACTTGTTTCAATAAAAAGGTTTATTGGTTATAACAGAAATAGTTTTGTCTAGTCTAGCATAAATGAATTTATGAGAGCACAGTTGATAGAAAAAGTTTTATTAATATAAAACACAATAATTTTTATTATTTATATTGGTTACACAATCAATTAACACACTTATTGGTATAAGTCCTTTAAAAATCATGATTGTGCATATATAATTTTTCCTATAATTCGCTTGCAATTGTTTCGGATATGTGCAAATATTACCTTGTTTATACAGGGTCTCATTAAAAATCGAACACATAACAACTGAAGATTGTCTGATTAAAAATAAAACGATTAAACGAAGCATGCTTAAATTAAATATTACTAGTTCTCGAAATAAAGGGGTTAAAGTTGAAAATCGAAATTTTTTTATTTTGACATAATTTTACTAAATTTAGTAAAATAACTGGTGTCATCACATACACCTATTATTAAAACGATCAGTTAAATAAATTTTGCCAGTAGCGTACGGCATAAATAAGTAACACCTTTATCCCTTCTTGTTTCACGCCATTGTCCAAAAACAGATTTTGGCTATACCTTTATATTTTTGCGTTTTTTAAATAAATCATATAGGTACTTTCGAAGGAAACTCATAAGGTAATTGCTTTTGTGGATATTCAGACTCAAAGGTGAATATTCTTTATTTTAACAATAATGTGTGTGTATATATTTTAAATCCCTCTTCAATCAACTTAATATAATAACTAAACTGAATATAATAATATCTATTTAATAATATTTGATATGGAGAAAAGGTGTCCTTGGCATAATCTGAGTGAGCTCTTACTTTCAAATTTTTTAATTTTTTATTTCTAAGTAGCGGAAATTATACAAACTGTTTTAACTAATTCATGCTGTGTTGTCTGTAAGGCAAGATAATAGGATTTTCAGATTGAATTTTAACAGTAAATTTATTTTATCAAATAACATGACTATCGTTTAAACTAGAAAGAAATGGTTTGCATATATAATTTTATAAAATCTCGTCATTTATATCAAAGTTATTTAAGTTTAATTTAATTTATCCACTTTTTAAAATTATTTTGATATTTATTTAGTATATTAACACAATAAATTATTTTTAAAATTTTGCATTACAATTTTTTGTTATAATTCAAAAAGCTGTTTGATTTTATATTCAGGAACACATAAATGCAATTTTTTACAATTCAGATAAGATAATAGAAATAATATTCTTTATCTAATAATTAAAGAAAACCATTATAATATCACTCTGATACTTATAGAGCATAATTTTATGTGGAAAATTAAAATAACCGAATATAAATTTTGTATTAATTATATAATATTATTATAGATATCAACTAATTAAAGTACATAGATACTATCTATGAAACCTAATCTTAAATTAAATTAAGTACAATAGTAGAATCAATGAGATTGCTTATTTAAAAATACTAACACTCGTTTTGAAACATACCAATTAATGTTTCGTATTTAATTTATTTTCTAAATTGGAAATATTCACCAATATTTGCCAACTTGCTACGTTTTGGAAAACATTGACGAGTCCATAACTGATAAAAATGATACAAATAATACTAACGATATTGATAGTAAAAAATCTTAAATCTGCTTTACTGGTTGCCTACTTGGACTGCGTACATTTGTGTATTCTAGGGACGACTGTATCAGAGTTAAGAGAGCTAAAGATACAACACGCTCATAAGAAGCATATGCCTCACAACGACCAGCTCGAACGCAGTTAACATCTGACGCACTATGTGGTGCTTTCATCGATATCAAACAAATAACGCAGCGGAAAATTTAAAAACTTGATAATAAAGGTTGTAATATAAAGACTAGTTTCTGTAGTCTTCATAGGTTGTAAATATGCACTTTCATGTTCTAGTAAATAAAATTAAACACTGTTAATTACGACGTGCAGACGAAAAAATTTTCTTATCCCCATTTTTTAAAACTTTTTTTCATGTTTCCGATCATTCTGAGTCTGAAAATGCAAAAAAAAATTTCGTTTGGTCATCTGTGTGTATGTATGCCGGTACAATAACTCTAGAACAAAAGTTCCGATTGACTTGCGGTTTTGATTTTCTTGAATATTTACTTCTAACTTAGAACCCTATTGATTTTCAGAATTTTCGGTTTATACTAACTACTTTATTATCAATTTTCTTAAAATTCGCCTGTGCATTTCTTATGTGACAATTTTAGGAATTTTAATTATTTCTAACCTCAACATGTCTAACATTCTTAACATTCCATAAATTGCAAACATTCTCTAATGACCTGTCAAACAACAGCTTTTGATAGTAAAGGTGAAATTTCTAAGGCGGGTTGCGACCTTCATACTATTTTGGAGGCTATTTTTATTCGAAATTAGTCGCCAAGCCTGCAAATTTATGAAAAATATATAAGTAGTTTCTTTAAATGACTTTTTTATGGTAATGCTAACTTAAGCGTACTATTTCGCCCCTAGCCACAAAAACATTTTCGATAAATTTACTGACTCTCTGTCGCAACCCCATAGAATAATTAACCAGCCATTTTAATTGGAAAAAATCAGAACAATGCTCCACTGTGTCTGTCAAGTATCAAGATGTCAACTGTGATGTGTGAATGGCTCTTAAATACCAAATAATTTAAAAATGTATGCTTCTTTTGATATTTATTTCAAATAATTTGTAGTGTATCTGAAATCAGGCTTTCCATAAATAAAGGTACAGCAAGACAGATAATATAATGTTCTTATACAAGGCAATTTTTTATTATATAAAAGAGAGGCAGGATATAATGCTGGTTTTTTGTAGATAATTTTAATTATACTATTTTGGATTACATATTCAACCAGCGAATTGTAAATAATAATTAGTAAACTCCTAGTCATAAATTTCCTTAATTCATAAAATTTAAAAATGAATCTTCTTACCTTGAGATTTTAATGACGTAATGTGATCAACCCATTTCAAATTTTGATCAATTATACCGAGGTATTTTGTTGTGTTTTTCATTTTAATTATAAAGTTGTCATTTATTTGTAGTTATGTTGAAAAAAGCCCTTTGTAAATTACATACAAATAGTTTTGTGGCCATAAGTTGCTATAAGCTATCGTCGCAAAACTATTAATAATTTAAACATAGTAAGTAGTATTAATATTACATCAAGTAATTTTTTAAAATAAAGTACATGATCTCAAAACAGAAATAATTTATAATAAATGCCGGTAATACGAGGGGTAAAATAACAATAAATTAAGAGAATTACTTAAAAAGAACAGGTTTAAAGAGTATTATCACAAGAAAGTGTATCCGTTCTGTTTATGTATCAAGTTTTGTAAGGTTACTTTTGAATATATTTATTGTTGTTTTTTTTTTTTAATTCTGTAGGCAGTCTATTACGTTTTTTAAACCTTTCATAAAAATTGTATTTTGGGAACTTTTTCGATGGCTTGCCGTACATGAAATTTATATTGGCTTCTTGTATTATAGTTGTGATAGTGCGAATTATATTGAATTTTTTCTAATAGATCTGATGCGATGGTACTGTCATTTTTATTTTATAAATAAATATCAGTCATGTACTGAACATAATTCTGAACTGAATGCCAAATTATTTCTTTTAACATAGTTGCAATATTCACCCTTCTGTCCTTTATTAATAGAATATAAATAGGCGAAGTAAGGAGCATAAATATTTTACATGAGCAGGCTAAAGGGGTAAAGGGGCCAATTTTTATTAGATAAATTGCTCGAACAAGTTTTTAAACCCCAATCAAAAGGCGATATAGAATGGTTTTAAAAATCAAGGCCTGTGAAAATCATCTCATGGTTTAACCCAAATAATGCTAATGCTTCACAGACCAAAAAATTCAACGTCCTAATAGCACTATCGGCTTTCGGTCTTTCGTTCAAAGTTAAATCATTTCTCGTTTTTTGTTTAGCTACGATTTTACCCTTGTAGGCCTCAGTCTCGCTAAGGTGGAAATCACCATTTTGGCGTCTCTTGAATTTTTTATTAAGAAGAATACTACACTTACAGTCTATTATCGGTTAATTATTCTAAATCTACTCATGACAAATATTTTTTAATTTTTGATTGTTATTTGTAACTTTAATATTTTTTGTTTTTATTTTCCAAACGAAAGGCCAATAGTGTATCATTTTTAAAAATTTTGGCTTTAAACTCCATCATGGAAATTTAGAAATGTTTCGTCCTATATCACATCTTATCTCTAAAAGAATAAATAATAATAAATAAATAATTTGTGACAAAATTTGACTCTGTTTGTGTTACTTAGATGGCTAGATCTTACTTTGGTAAGTTAAAAAACGCCACATTGGGGTTTGTAAATTTATTCATGTAGCATGTGTTACCAATACAATAAGTGCTCAAACTCAATATTGTAATGTTACAAAACATAATTATTGTCCTGAGATTTCACATAAAAACAACTACAGCCATTTTGCTTAGTTCGCCTTAAAATATAAACTATTCATGAACTCAAAATTTGACGATATATATACAACTGACATTTATTTACAAACCGTTCACTGCTGTCCACGTCTGCTCTGTCTATAAACGAAGTGTACCTTTACAAAAAAGATGGCCTTTTCCTATAGAAATAATAAAAATTAACGTTCAGTAGTTTCATGTAAGTATTATAAATGATATCAAATACCTTAGAGTACCTACAAATTGACTCTCATCATAACTGGACTAAGCATACAAATAATGCGTTGAATGTACATTTAAAAATAATCTATTTTGCACTCATAGAATCATTATTACATTACAGGACCCTTTGTTGGAAAGGTGTTTTACCTGCTTATGCAAAATTGTCCTGCAAAAAATATTACTAACAATATTATGTAATAAAATGATCAGAAATTCTCTTGGATATTAGGAAGTTTTATGTGTACTCCAACAAAAACATCTAAGAAAAATATCACAGCGCTGTTTGACCTAAATATAAGTATAGGATATTTAATTTTTCTTAAAGCATATCTACAAAACATATTTATTTTTCAAACCTTAATAATTTGTATAACGTAGATTAATAAAGACATTGTCATAATAAATACGTTAAAAAGTCAATATTTTTTTTAATACATTATTGCTTTGATTTTTAAAATGAAATCCCTCTATAAATAATCCCAAAAATAATTTCCTATATTTATCCCACCCAACATGCAATTTAAAAGTAAAATTTATTCACATAATGAAGGTTAATAAAAAAATGCAACTTCTCTCAAGAAAATAGCAATTCGTTAAAATGAGAGAAATCGGTAAAAGATAATATGCAAATGAGAATTTATTATTTTCTTTTCTACGCCGCTTTATGACAGTACGTCATTGGTAGGCCGAAAACACTTATCGCCATATTCGTCTAGTTCACTGTCAAAATTAGATACCATCGCGATTCCAAGGTCGTTTGGGATTCCTCCTTCCTGACTTTATATATTCTAAGTTTAGAGTAGACAGATGATATTTAAAAAATATAACTTGTCAATAAAACATATTTGTCAGAAAAACCAAAAATTTTTAATTTCATTTTTTTTTTGGTGTCATCGGCGTCGACTACTACGGCCATTAGCCTCGTGTTCTGTGTAGGCTTTGTTACTGTTTCCCAGCGCCACTTTAGGAACAGCACTGTTAATTAGAACCCAACAGTGAATGGTCGAGTGGGGAATCCTACCTTTGCATTAGAATTAATATTATTTTTTTTTTAAATAAAAATCCCTGCCACCGGTGGGATTCGATCCTGAGACCTTTCGATCTCAAAGTCATGAATCTAACCACTGAGCCAACCCACCCCTTTTTAATCTCATTTGTACACCGATATATACACACAAGCTTAACTGCATGACTCCCACAAATTATGAATATACTCGTATACAGGGTGATTTTTTAAAAAGAATCCACCCTCGTTAACTTCGTTCTCGTCTTGATTCAGGTAAAATTCAAAAACAGGTTAATTTTTATCCTTAGGTGGACACATTTTTAGATCACAACTGATTTTGTCGGATCAACCCCATGGCCCCACCAGCCCCCACCTCAAAAACCTTTAATAGCAAGGGGGCCGAGTGCCCCTCGTTGGAAAGGTTTTTTAAAAACCATACGACCATTTAAGAATTATTTCGTTTTGTACAGGGTGGTTCAATAAAAAAGACAAATTGCAATAAATATATTTATATTTCGCTTTAATTGGTTAATTTTTGGAATAAAAATCGTATTAATTGTTTACAAAACGAGAAGAATCGGATTAGAGTGAAAGGAAGCAAAATCACAAGTGCTTAAAATGACCACCGTTATTCTCCATGCAGTAGTAAAGGCGGTTTTCAAATTCCTCTCTCACTCGTTAAAAGGTTTCTCTAGGGATTCTTCTGCATGCGTCAGTTATTCGCAACTCCACTAAATATGCTGGTTGAGTTTTGAAAAAAACAGATTTTAGGTGTCCCCAGAGAAAAAAATCTGGTCCTGTCAAATCTGGTGACCGTGGAGGCCATTCTATTGCTCCCCGCCTGCCAAGCCAATGATGCGGAAATCTCTGAATTAGCCAGTTCCGAACATTCACAGCGAAGTGAGATGGGGCTCCATTTTGCTGAAAAAAAGAGCTCATTTTCTTCAAGTACAAGATTTCCATCTTGATCCCGCTGATTTTCAACTTCAACCGTTATCAAGGGATCTATGATATCCTCCAGCAGCTCTAAATATACCTCGCCAGTCAAAGTCTCATTAATGAAAATCGGACCGACTACCGCATCGCCTAGTATTCCTGCCCATACATTTAATTTCTGAGGAGATTGAGTATGCCCCTCTCTAAAAATGTGAGGACTCTCATCACTCCAATATTGGACATTATGTTTATTGACTGCGCCATGCAGATAAAAACTACATTCGTCACCAAAGCAAATGTTTTTTATGAGGTTTGGGTTTGCGTTTATCATTTCCGTAATAATTTCGCAAAACTGTAATCTCCCATCAGGATCATCGTCCACAAGCCCCTGAAGTATCTTCATTTTATATTGATATAATTTAAAAAGTTTTGTCACTTTGCGTACCGATGAATACGAAAGTCCAGTGGTCGTAGCAATCTGACGCAAAGAACTAGTTGGATCGAAAGTAAAGTTCCCCACCACTTCAATCTGAGCCATTTCATTAACTACTCTGTTACCTTCTCTCTTCATATTTTTCACCGATCCTGTTGCTTGAAACTTCCGTACAAGTTGCGTGACATATTTGTGCTCCATTCGCTTATCTGGATGTCTCGCATTAAAAACTCTGGCAGTGGCGC